CAGTAACACTTGGGCACAGCAAAGCGGAACATCAGCCAGAAATTGCCTTGGGTTTCTCCGAATGGGGAAAAATATCGAGCTCATGCCCTCTAGTGGCTCCATAGAGTGAAATTTGTGGCAGTAGGGTGCTAGCAGTGTTCTCACCTACTGGATGTTATGGGTAGGAAAAATAATCTCCCCCTATTCCTTGCCTTCAATGGGAAGTTCAGAGCAGTGGTTTTAGAAATATGCGGCTCAGTTCTGCAGGTGGGGAGATGAGCCAAAAGACACCAGGGACAGAGAAGGCCACTGCTTGTTGCCTGCCATCCATCCATGGGGTCTGCCTGGGACAGCAGGCCTTGAAAGAACGTGGAGCCTAAATAAATCACAGATAGCAGTGTTGTCATCTGGTTTTGAACTGCTCTGGAATGTCTAGTCGTTGCCTGCCATTGGTGCAAGCTTCCCCCTGACACATCCAAGTGCGTGGCTGAAATATCTTCTAAGCCATGGATGTTAACGTATCATAACAATAATCTCCGTATTTTAAAGCCCATATGCCTCCCCCACGTGGACCTTCATTGGCATCTGCTTCTGATTAAACATCATTGGGTTACATCCTGAAATAACTTCAAAGATTTATTGACTTCCATGCTTTCAAAATAGCTCCTGAAGAGCATTGGAGAGCTGGTGCTGACCCAGGGGGCTGAGTCAGTGCTTGGTGCTCCTCATCCCCCAGAATACAGAACCAATAGTTCTACTTTTGCATGTCAACATGAAGCTATTTCCACTGTGAAACTTCAGGAATTTACAATGAATACAAATGCTGAGCAGATCAGAGATGAATTCAATGACCCACATTGCCCAAGCAGCAGTGACCTCCCATTGCCTCTGAGAAATTCCCATTCCTTTGAGGTTCCAGTCCTAAAGCAAGAGAACTGTGGCTCCTCCCTGCATTTGTTTCAGTCCTTTTTGTTCCAAATGGTTATCCTCTCTCTCTCCAAACAAATGCTGAGCATCTGCTCAAACCCTTTAACAATTTGGTGGCTGTAAGAGCAATCAGCTCTTACCTTTGGCCACAGGCCTGAAGGGTGTCTGTCCTACTGGTGGTGATGGTAAGCTACCATCAGAGCTTGGTGGCTTTCTGTGGCATGTGAAGGTCAGGGTTAGGTGGCTGGAGCTGAGCTGCTGTGCTATGGGGTTGGGTAGAGCATGCAGGAGGGAATCTGCAGCCTCTGAGGAGGATTCTGTAGAATTGCCCTGCTTTCCTTCAGGCTCTGTTCAAAGCAGGGTGCTGCCCTCTGCCTTGAGAGCAGAGGCTCTCAAGAGGGCTTTTCTTTCAACCAAAGACAGATCTATTAAAAAGCATGGCTCTGGTCTCTGCCAAGAGCTCCATTTCTGCTAGGATTTCAGAAGCTATTTAGTGTATCCACTTCCTGGGAATCTCCTTCCAAGAGCTTTGTGTTGATCCTTCCTCTCTCTGCTGTGGGTCCACGGGGCGGGGGTGTGGGGAGAGCATTGGGGACATTGAGGAGGAGAGGAGCTGTGCTCTCAGCCAGCTGCAAAGCACAGTGATGGGCACCATGTGTAGGTCCCACAGACAGGGTTATTCTTCCTGGTCCTGCTGCTTGGTTGCAAGCCAGAGACAACTCCAAGTGTTTTTCATTGGGTTTGCTTCCCGTTGACCCAAGTGATGCTGTGCTCGAGATGCTCACATCCCATTTCCATTGCAATGATTTCACTGAGCAGGCAAACGGCAGAGCTCATCACTTTGTGTCAGCCTAGGGTCTCTAAGAGGCAGAGACTCTAATGGGTTTGCACCAGAGGGCTGCTTTAGGGGAATGGCCATGCTCTGTACAAGCCAGAGCTCTGCCAAGTCTCTGTTAACCAGCACAGCTCTGAACGAGGATGGGAGGATGCTGCAGCTGCTCCCTTCTGCCTGCTGAGAGGGAGAGGGATTGTTCAGCAGTGCTGCTGATCCCAGACAAAAAGGAGATGGAAAAGACTCCATCCTCACGCCTCTGTTGTGGCCTGGGTAATGTGAGTCACGCTGAGCGCCTGGGGCATCCGGGGCTGCTTCCCTCGTGCTGTCCTCCTCTGCTCCTCCAGCACCGGGGCTGCCTCTGTGCCTGGCCGACGTGGCACAGCAGTGCTTCTGCCTGGGGTTAAATTTAGGATGCAGAGGGACAGCCTCCAGCATGGAGTGGGAAGAACATGCCCCCGTACCCTCAGCAGCTCAAAGCAGAGCTGGTGCGTAGCGCAGGGCTCCAGTAGGAGCGTTCCCAAGCCTTCGGATCTGTGGTGGGACAGAGGAGTAAATTTGACACATATTTTCCATCCTCAGCTATCCACATTGCCCCTAACCTGATCCCAATTAGATACACAGAGGCAGCTGCCAAGGAACTTTTATGAGTCATTTGAAAGGGAGCCTGCACCAGAGTCGTGTATTCGAATCCAGCTGTCTGCACTCTGTTGTTGTTTAAAAGGACATTTGTGCTTGCTTACCTCACCTAGGAAAGGGCCAGTGGGCCCCTGGCCATGGGGGAACTGGTTGTCAGCCCAGGAACACACTGTGTATTCCTTGAAACAGAGAGAGAAAGCGTGGAGCTGTTGGCAAGGGCTTGAGAAGGGGACCCCTCCCTTAGAAAGTTTTATCTCAATCTATAATAAGAATTGATCAACTTAAACCCTAAAGAGAGAGGATAAAATTCCTCTCCCAAATGCTCACTCTTATTCTAAGTTATTCTGGGCAATCCCCTGACTTGTAACTTGTTTTGGTTTTGGTATGGCATAGGCTGCATTCACCACTGATACCGTGCAAACTTTTACTAAGTAGAGTTGACCTTTGGCATCCCATCTTTAAAATTCAGTGTCTGCCGTGCGCCCTTCACTTGGCTTTTCGTGTTTCCAAGGGACTACTGCTCTTTTAGCTCTTATTTTTCAACATTTCCAATAAAAGCTGGGACTCCTGTAATGCAGAAGAATGAGAGCTGAATGGGGTGCTGTGGTGAGCCCAGTGAGCACGGTTCCTGCAGTTTCTACCCTGGCTGGGATCTCCCAGTTTCCCAGTCTCTGGTACTCTTTCCCTGGGACAGGGCACCCGAAGCACCAAACCTACATCCAGCATCACTAGATGGTGCTAATGCTTGCGTTTTCCCCACCTCAGCCTGGTACCCTGCAGCCTGCACCTTGAGGAGTGATGCTGGGGGCCCTTCTGGGCACCCATGGACTGGGGCAATGCTTGGCCTGCCCTTGGCAAGAGCCTCTAATAGCCACAGTTACTAATAGCAGCAATTCCCATCTCTCGGCTTGTCTGCAGGCTAGCTAGGGGCAGAGACCCAGGCTCAGCAGACTGCAATGTCCCTGCAGTGTTATGCCCTCCCTACTGCTGCTCTTTTTAGGGGTGCAGAGCCTAGGATGGGGCACAGGGATTGCATTCCTTCAACTGTATCAGTTTTGCATTGGTTTAAGCCTGTGGGTTGATTGTCTCCAAGGAATCAAATCTGCACATGGGTAGCGGTGAGTGGCTGTAATTCCTGGTGCTCCTTGTGCTGGTGATGGGCTGGGGACACACATCCCTGTACTCAGCTCAGAGCAGAAAAACACATTTTTCAGGTCACTGCTGGGGTTGGGCATTTGGGTGAGATGTCGTGTGGTGAGGATCTTCTTATGCAAGGCTCGCCAGCTTTTGGGAACCCCGCTCCAAATACCTGATGGATGAGGCATGGCTTGAAGCACAGCTGGCTGAACAGAAGCCCTCCTCACTGCAGGAATGGCCCTGAGGAGGTGCAGGGGCACAAGGAGGAATGAGAAGGTCTCACCCACACAGCTGACTCAGTGCTGATAAGCAGTCACAGCCAGACACTAAACTAATGTGTCTGGGAATGGTGTGTTACTGCTTGCCAGGCACAAAGACCTCCATATCTCACGGGGCTGAGCTGGGAACCAAGCTGCCCCTCATCCCTTGGAGGACAGCATATAGAGCTGGTTCACTTCAGGGGTGCTGAGTGGGGATGTTTTGGGTGAGCAGGGGGACAGTTGGCAGTGCCTTCCCATGGCATCAGCCCAGGCTGTGGCCGTTCCCAAGTGGGGAGATCAACTCCAGCCAAGGATGCTTGCCAGCAAGAGCCAATGTGTTCAGTAAGAGCCACACACGCCCTGCCTGGCACCCAAAGGGTTTCAGTTCTGTATAGATGGAGAGATGGAGAAAAAATGCATCTAAAAATATATTTTTCTTGCAGAATTAAAAAAAGGGGCATCAATACAATGGATATTTCAAGTCTCCAGAGAGCTCTGCTTGGAAGGAAAGAGACGCAGAGCGCCTGCAGCAGAGCCAAAGCTTCAGCTCACTGAATTCTCTGCTTTTTCCTCCCAGCTCTACAAAAACACCCTTCAGACCACCATTGCTCCAGCCATGGAAGCAATATAGTGATGGCCCATGCGAGAGCTCAGGAAGGGAGGAGGAGGAGAAGACCCAAGTGGCTGCTTTCTTGGTGCTGAGGACGATGTGCCCTGCTGCCATGTGCCAACCTCTGCACTGGGCTCCTCCACCTCCCAGTGCTGTGAGTCACTGCAGCCATCCCTGCACCACATCTCCCAAACAGAGCCACACTGCATCTCAGGACATTCTGTGAAGAAATTGCATTCTCATGACTAAATGTCAGCATAGAGAATGAATGAAGGAAGATCAGAAATTTACTTAAAATCTGCCACCAACTCCTCAGCACAGGGGAAAATCTGGTTTGGGTGTCATGACCTGAAAGAGATGCAAGAAGAACGATTACTTGTGTTCACAGAATCCTTAAAGTTGGAAAAGACCACCAGCATCATCGAGTCCAACCGTGTTGGGGCATTCTGCTCAGACACATCTCCTGTCCAAGAGCATCCAACTTTCTGCAGTTTCCTTATCCTTGTGCCTAAGGGACACCAAGGCACAGAGTACTTGTAGGCATGGCTGGCTGCCAGCCACCCTTGTCCTCTGGTTAATAGAGGAGCAAATGGAACCATGGTAGGTAACATGAACACTGCACAATCCTGTCATAGCCAGAAATGTTTCAGCTGCATCGTTATTTATTTTTATTCTTTTCCTGCAGCATCTTATTTGCCCTTGGTTGTAAAAGGACTGAGCTGATGTTAGCATTCTTTTCAATTGGTATTTTTCTGAAGAAAAAGGCATAAATGGACACTGCAGTTTTGACTGATCTGATAATAAGTATAGGGGAAAGCACTTGGTGTGGTTGCATTGCCCTGTTGTCCTGGGCTGCAGATGGTCACTGAAGCTGTGCTCACCCCCCCCCCCCAGGTGCTAACACTCAGCCTCTGCTGGGCAGATGAAGCACAGCTGGGTAAGGAGCAGGTCCTGATGGGCATTGTTTGTTGGCTTGGGAGCTTGCCTTGCCTCTTTAGGGACCTGACACAAACCTGGGAGCTCAGAAACGTGGTGCTCTCTGCTGTAGCCATTCATGTTCTTCCCATTCAGCAGGTGTGAGTTGCCACCAGCAGCAGTTTTTCTCCTTGGATTCCAGGCACCATTCACATCCCACTGTTTGGAATATGACCATCACTACGTTTAGCCACCAGTCCTGGGAGGATGTGTTGCTGCCCTGCTGACAACCCACCAGAGATGCCCTGAGGGCTGGGATGCACGTTGCTGTCTGCCCTGAGGCTGTAAGGTAAAAGATGCACCAATGTTCATTGTAAATGAGAAGCCTTTTCTTTGAATGGGGAGATTAAAAGCAAAACTCTCTGAACTTCCTTCTCCTTTGGTTACGTTACATAAAAAAAAGTTAAGTTTGTTTAAGTTGGGAACTGGAGCAGTTCTTTATTGCCCCTGACTTCTTTCCTCCTCCTCCTGGTCTCAGTAACAAGGGCCAGAGTAGTGGACCATGCTGGACACAGCTATTTCTTTGCTGATGTTAATTGCAGCCCTTCCTGGGGGAGGAGCGAGGCAGCTGATTAAACTGAAGGCAAAAAGAATTTCTGCCTGGGCAAATCAGAGCAGAAAACAAAGGAGTGGGAAGGGTCAGGAGTGCTGGCCGTGGGGCTCTGCAGGGTGGGGAAGGACATACGTGGGTCTAGGAGAAATCCAAGGGGAAGCATAAGGAGGCAGAAAGGATTGTTTGCTAATAGAGAGAACCAGGGTGCTGCTAAATACCCAAACCTTCACTGTTTCACCCAGAGCAGGGGTGGCTGTGGGGCTGGGCGCATTGCAGGGTAGTTTGGGATGGTCCCAGGTTGGTGCTGGGTGCCCTGTGAGCCTTCTGATGCTCTGTGAGACCTGGGAGAATCAAGAAGGAGCACGAGCAAATGTGTTTCCACTTAGCTGCTCTGCAGAGCCAAATGATGTAACTGCTCGAAGCCCTGCACTATATTGGCAGGAGGAGCCCAGTGACAGCTCCAACTGTAAGTTCCTGAGCTAATGAGCAGAAAAGTTGAATAAAACTAAAAAAAAAAAAGCCTTTTTCTTTGGCTTAACATTGCGATCCTTCCCAGGACTGTTCCTTCAGCTGTTCCTCTGCTCAGAGAACAAATCCAGACCCGAAAGATGCTGGCTCCTCTCCTCTGGGTCTAATGGGGCAGAGCCAAGGGGTCAGTGCCCATTGGGAGCAGTGCTTCAGAGCAGTGCTGGGTACTTTGCTTGGCGCTGAACCACATCCCTGCTCCAGGAGAAGCACTGTGCCATCCTTTCTTCCAGCCCTTACGGAGTTAAAACAATTATTATTACTAAGGGTGGGTTTCTCTCTCTCTCTCTCTCTCTCTCTCTCTGTGTTACCAGCAAAGAATGTTTTACTACAGCTCTCCACACAGCCACCAGCCTCCAAATGGACCACGTTACAGTAGGGCTAAATACTGTGTCAGAGACCATGTGTTTCTTGTAAGATGGGCTCGAGCCATGCCTGTCTAGAAAACTGTTTATCTTCCCCCCCCATCCCCCTGCTGCCTTCATCCTCCCATGGGCCGCGTGGATGGCTAGGATGGGAACTTTCCTGGGATGCTGGCTGAGATTTTTTGCATGCAGACTGCCATGAGGGCTGAGCTTTGGATGGGACAAAGTGTCCCCACATCTGCTGGGTGACACTTAAGGTCCTGCTGCCCACAAAAGGCACTGGGGTGCCCTGAGGTATTGCATCATGCAAGGAGGAGCACCACAGCTGCCTGGGGAGCCCTCTGCTAGAGGGTCTGGAGAGAGGCTGTACCCAGAGCACGGTGCTGATGTGTGTGAGTTCACTCTTGGGAGTGAAATTAGGCTGGAGAGGTGTTGCTGCCCTGAGGTCAAGGTGAAGGTGAAGTACTCCTTTAGCTTGCAGGAAATCACGGTGTCTGTAGGGTAGATCGTAGAGCTGGCTGATTACAGGAGCAAAACCTCTAATCATTGTTTTATTGGAACTAAAATCAGTGCAGAGTGGGGTCAGTTGGCCACGCTGCTCCAAGCACTGCTGTCACCGTGGCCCTGGTGGCACACAGTGCTGCTGCACTTCCATCCATACCACCGTGCTTGGGGAACAACACCCTCCTTGCAGACTGGGGCTCATTCCTCCCCTGCACATCTCCACAAAGAGGGATGGCAGGGAAATCTGAGCTCCCCTCATGCCTTCCCCTCCCTATCTGTCCATCTTGACGCCATCCCAAAATACTAAAAGGCACTTTTCCTTTTTACTGTCCATGCTCTCTCTTGGCCACTGATCTGCACAATGGCATAATTGTACGTAAACATCTGATTTCTTTTACTTTGCCTCAGTAATAGCTTGTAGCAACTACTTCCAACAACTATTAATACTGTGCTATATATTAGATCCAGACTTCAGATCCCCAAATGTGATTGTCTTCAGAAAGGGGGGGGGGAAGGCTGAAAGGAGATCTAACGTTTACCCTCTGGTCAATCTTAAATGTAGCATAGGCTGCATCTCCATATAAACTCAGCCGGGGCTCTTAATGCTAAACACCTTGGACTTTTGCTGTGAGAGATGATAGATGAGGCCCTGCTCAATCAGAGTGATGATTCCTCACCATCAGCATCCCACTGCTTAGGGAGGGCTGGCTGATCCCAGGGCCGCTCTCCTCCCTCTGCCTTTCATGTGGAGTGGAGCAGAGCTGTAGCAGATCAAGTTCTGCTCCCTTTATAGGGGAAAAGCATGAGAGCAGAAGGATGGAGTGGCCAAGGCGGCTGGATGGTGCCACTGCAGAGGCAAAAGCAAAAATCAGCTAAAACATAGGAAAAAATAAAGCCAAAACATAGCTAAAAATAACTGTCATGCATAGCTCTTGTTCCTTCCTGCTGTGGAATAGGAGAATTTTGGAGCAACTCTGTAAAAACCAGCCTGTGCTTTAGCTCAGCTGTTCAGGAGCTGCAGTCTACCAGGCCAGGTCAGAATGAGGGGAGTGGGCAACATTCTCATTGGGAAATTGTCTTCTCTGTCCCAAGAGAGAAAATCCACACAGGCTGCAATAGCAAGGAATTGTGTTAGCTGTGATTGTATTGCTGGGAAAGAGAAAACCAGCCAGGGGTCAACTTTCCAGCTGGTCATAATCTCTGGGAAGTGGCCCTGCCTTTCCTTGCTGGAACACTGAGATCCAAATCTTAAAACCACAGTTTTGCAAAAACTGAGCACCTGTTGTCCTCAGCTACATTTTGGGTTTTCTTCCATTGCATGGCATGTGAACATTGGGTGGTCTGTTTTGCTGGGGCTGCTCTGTGCATCACTGCTCCTCTGCAAATCTGGCAGAAGATTCTGAATGAGAAAAGGTCACTGATGAACTTGGCTTGGAGAGAGGTCTTTGAGGAGTGTTTGGAGCTTTCTGGTAGGTTTTCAGGCATGGTCAGTCTGCTAAAGGTGATCAGATTCTCCCTTTTCTTCAGCAGAAACAGCAGTTTGGTGATTTCTCCTTATCTCTGTGTTTTCTAGCCACTGGACCAGCTGGGACTGGGTGAAAGAGAGAGGCTGCACATCTTCCTGCTCCTAGTGGCTGGGTCTATTAAGAGTCAGCCATGGGTTGCCCCAGCTCTTCAGGTGATAACCTGCTTCAGCAGCAGCTGCACTCAGAATTTATTGGGCTGCAGCTGGGAATCCTTCTCTTTGATCCATCTCTGCTATTAAACAGCTTGTGATAACACCGCCGAGCTCACGTCGAGGAGGGGAAGCCGAGCAACCTCAATTTTGGAGCTGAGCAGCAGCGGGGAACCCATCTTAAAACTGCATCACCTCACCGGCTTCAAAAGCAAAGGAGCTTCTTTTATTGCAGTGAGCTGCACCCCAGGAATGATTGAAGTCCCTTGAACAAGCACCTTCCTCATCGCAGAGCCATCTGCTGACAGGGTGCCAAGTACAACAAGCCCAGTCCAAAGCATCATCACCTCCATGGGGCTAATTGTCGTTGCCTTGTCCCTTGAACAAGAATTGTGGTAAGGGAAAGCAGAGCCTGGAGACACATGCAAGTCCCTGAACAGAAATAACCCCTGAAGGAGAACTGAAAAGCAATTGAGGAGTCGGCCTACGGGCTGCAGACAAAGCACAGAGCAAAGGAGATAACCAGCAGTGAGCACTGGGAAATAATGCCTTAAATTCCCTCTGAGCCCGTTCATCATCGTGGCTTTGGTGATCATCTCAGCAACAAATTCCCTTATCATCCGGCTGGAATTTGATGTTAATGACCTGTCTGTTATTTCAGAGGGAGATGGACTGGAACCAGTGGGTAATTGGTAGGAAAAATCGCTGGGTGCAGCTAAGAGCTGATGCTACTGGAGTCGTTACACCATGGGAGAGGGAGATTAGGGAGCTCTGCTTACCACAAGGGGTTTATTCATCCTGAATAAATGCATTAGCTGACCAGAATTGTCCTCCTATGCCCTCATTCCTGTCTGGTGGCATCTCCCCACCACAACTCACCCTGCTTTTCCCAACAAACAGCAGAGAAAGCCCAGCAGAAGCTGATAGAATCATAGAACACCCAGAGCTGGAAGGGACCCATAAGGATCATCGAGTCCAATTCCTGCTGTTGAGATGATCACGGTAAGGAATAACCTGCTCTCTCCAAGCTCACACTGATGTATGCATTTATTTTGGAGTTCTCTCAGGAAAGACCATAATTATTCTAATTTCTTAATTACCAAAATTATTCAAACCCTTCTGCCCTGCGATGTTTTGCACAAACAACCTCCCAGATTGCAGCAGCGTTAGGATTTGGGTCTGTTTCTCAGCTGGAAGGATTCTCTGCATTCATTACCATTTCTCCATGCCGTCACGTTAGCGGGGCAGCCTGCAGCCCTCACCAAAAATAGGATAACTGGAGAGCATCAGGGGAGAGCTAGAAGCAAGTCCAGAGGTAAAGCCTTTGCTCTGTTGCAAAGAAGGATAGCTTTGCTGGCACTTGATGTCTGTGCTTTTTCTCAACAGTTTCCCATTCCCACCTTGCACTTCCCAGCTAACTGGACCAGCACCAGTCACGTTTTGGTGAGCACACCTGCTTTATAAATTAGTTCCCAGGAGTATTTGCAAAAACAAAGCTGAACTGCAGGGCCACGGGCCTGGGTTTGCTGCAGAAATACCAACACATACTCATAATAAAGCAGCTGCACACATTGCCCAGCTCTGTCTGTAACTTCCCGTCATGTCCTGTACCTTTCTGGGAAGAAGAATGGGTGATGGTGGTGGGAAAATTGCTTCACCGAGCCAAGAAGGGTTTTGCAATCGCTTTTGATAGAACTGGGGCTGCTTTTAACCCTACATATTCCACACGTCTCTGTACAGTCCTATGGGTTCTCCGCTGTTGTAGGCAGTGATGGAGAAGAAAAAATGGGTAAGGATTTAACACCCAGCCAGAACTGTGCATAAGGGCCAGCCCTGTGCCTTCTTTGTGCACTGCTGCCTGTCCCCAGCATCACCTCAGGGTGACACGAGCTGAGGACCATGAGTGGTGAGGAGCTCACATGGTGCCTCTCCCTAAGCTGCAGACTCAGAGGTTGGATTTCTTCCCTATAGCTGCGTGAAGAGCTGCTAACTGCTCCATCAGAAACCCAGGCAAGGATCTCAGCTTGTTGCTTTCCTTTGCGTGGGAGACTTTTTGTGCAAAAAAAGCCATCAGCAGAATGAATCAAATGCTGTGGTAGTGGCCCCATTCCCATGTGCTCTGTGTGCTCTTCCTCTTGACTCACCAGTGAGGTGATATCATGGGGAGGCTGTTCTGAGAATGCTTTACTTGATTTAATTCATAGCTGTGTTGGGGCAGGAAGGTGTTCCCTCCTTGTGCCCAGGGATGGATGAGTGTCCTCCAGCTGCCCCCAGAGATGCAGTGTTCTGTCCAGGTAGCACTGCCTTGCTGCTGGTCATCCATGCCAAGCCTGGGAATGAAAGCTTTGGCAACGGCTCTGGTATCTTCCTTGTGGAAAAGCATGTTGATTCCTGCAGACAAACTGGAGATGAACACACCTCTAAAGCCCAGTGTGTTCGTAAAATAAATCTCCACATAACTGCAAGACAGTATTTCTGCAAAAAAAAGTTTTCTTATCATGATTTTTCCCTCCATCTTTGATTCATCACTACTGGGTGAGGAACCTGCAAACAGATTTGTTTGGAGCCTTGGTGTGGACTCACAATGGCTGGGAATATTCTTGCTATTCCTAGAAAAACAGATTCCAGCTGGAGGGGACGAAGAGCTCCAGCATTAGAGATGACCTAAACAGCGTGCATCCCATATGAGATGGGAAGTGGAGAACTGCTAGAAACATCTCTGGCCCTTTCAGCAGAACTGTTTTCCCTTTGCCTTCTTGAGGCTGAGCTGCAAACATTACATGGATGAACCCAGCAGCCTGCTGCTGTTTCTTTTTGCATGTTCACATGGTAGCTTCTGAAGTAAGTTTGAACACTGTTGCTCTTGCACTCACATCAGGCTGCAGGGGAGCCCCTGCTCATGCTGCCCTGACCTCGCTGCTCTTACTTCCCCTGCTGATGCATCAGTGCACGATGTGGCTGGAAATGAGGTGGTGCAGGGTGGTCTACTCTGTTTTACAGCAGAAATGGGTTGCTGGGCTCCTGAAGGCATTCCCCAGGACTGCTATGGTCCAGAACAGCCCTAGGAAAGATGCTCTGCTTCAAGCTGGGGTTGTGCTGGTGGGAGCTGGGGATTTCACGTCTTGCTCCGGTTGGATATTTCAACCAATGGCACAAATAATGGATGTCCTCCTAAGAGGAAATACATGGCAGGAAATACATTGGCCATATGAGTTTGAGAGTCGTTTCAGTTTTGAACAGTGCACTAATCAAGATTTGGCTAATGGGTATGTTGGGACATGCACATAGATATGCTCTTCTTTTGAGTCCTCCTCTTTACCTCTCAACCCCTGAAATCATCCAAGCTGCTAACACTCTGAGGAGGGTGACGCAGCAAAAAATAATTCTTTTAGCAAGAAGCAGAAAAATGAGATTTGCATATGTTTTTCTGGGAAAAATATCAAGCTGCCCTGCTTAGAAAATGAATGGGTTGGAAATCAGCTTGTAAAACTTGAAGCCTGACTCAGGCACTGATTTGTCACAGGGCTGTCACCTGCGGTCATCGTTAGTGAGGAGCCCTCAGCGTTCTGTCCAAAAGGAAAGATTGCTGTCTGTGTTATTGATGGATTCGTGTCTGGGGAAGAGCAAATCCCGGTCAAGCTGGAGGACTTTTACACACTTTCAGCAGCGGGTGAGCAGAGTTGTGGACTACAGAACCATCCCTGCTCAGTGCAGAGCAGCTCCCAAGGAGCACAGTGATAAATGAATTGCAGAAAGCTGGGGGGTTCAGCTCGGCCAGGGGAAGGAACGCTGGTATCTGATCTCTGCAAACCTGATTTTCCGCTTACGTGCCTGATGATAAATCAGCAGTAAATGTGCTTACGTTGGCACTACAAGTCTTCCCCTGGATGCAGCTCTGTAGGCACGCACTTCCTTGACCACAAGCGCCCAGATTTGGTGCAGAAACCATAAGCATGGTGCTGGCAGTCGGCATCCCATCCCAACAACAGCACAGCACAGCCATGGGAGGAGGACAGCAAGCCCTCCAGGAGAACCTCTCCAAACTGCAGAGAAGGTCTGGTTTTGAAACTGGGGCAAAAGTTGAAATAGGATTTAATTTTATCTCAATTGATTCATCTGTCCCTAATTAGTAATAGCTTCTTAATGCATGATGCAAGGATACGAGGAGGTTTGTTTGTTTTTTTTTTTAAATGAATGACTTTTGGCTAAGATAAAATATTGCTGTTCTCAGATTGTCTCTGATAGTTCTTTTCATACGCCAATGGAGATTTGTGCAGTCTTAGATGAAAAATACATGAGATCCTGCAGTCGCACACGCTGAAGACTAAACTCTTATGGATTATGGATCCTGTCTTGTTCCCAATTTATTTTGTACATCCCATTTAGTGTCTGTATTTGCTTTTACTGAGAGAGGAGCCTCAGTCTCCCAGAATTGCAGTGTGTGATGCTGTGCAGGGATGGAGCAAAAACTGATACTTACACCCAGAGCAGTTTCTCACAGGAACAATGTGAAATTGCCCATTTTTCTCTTTTCAGGATGAAAGTTGTGCCTGCTTTGCCTTACTTTCTCTTTCTGTCCTCTTCCCCATGTCCTCTCTCCTTCCTGCCCATGAGTCAAGGGGCTGGAAGTAGAGCTGCGGCCGCGTGGCAGGGATGCAGGAGGTGGAGCAGTGCTTGTGGGCTGTGTTTGGGTTGAATTGCATGATCCCAAGCAGCAGGAGGTGCAGGTTGCCCACAACCCGTTCCTGGATAGCATGGCCACAAGATAATCCCTCTCACCTTGTAATGCACAGCTCTTCCACATCATTTCTGTGCTCTGACTCGTACTTTGCTGTACCATCCAACATATTCCATCCCAAACCTCAGTCTTCACAGCCTTGAAACCCTTCCAGGCTGCTATCGTGTCCCTTTCCCCAACTCATCTCCCCAAGTGTTACCCCCAGGCTCTAATCCCATTCCATAAATCAGTCTCTCCAAGGCCCTGACCGTATTCTGAGATTTCCAGGGGCTGTGTGGCTCCTCCTGGGCTCACATCTCTCCTCCCTGCACAAATAAAAGCCTGAAGGCACACAGCAGGGTGAGGCTCAGGTTTCTGGGCTCGTTTTATAACCGGTGCTGAGCTGCACGGAGCCCTGCATGCAGTGAGGAAGCAGGGCAGGACATGTCGAGCAGATGGTGATCCTGGACTGCAGATGAGAGCTGAGTTACGGCGCTCGCAGCACATCTTTGATACATGTCCAGCTTTTATCAGATGGTTCCACTCAGTGTTTGGCACAGCTGATGCGAGGCCGAGGAGCATCCCAGCAGTGGGAGCAGCCCCCCATCCCTTGGGCTGTCCGTCTCTGTGCACTGAGCCGGGGCTTCCCCTGCCTCTCCCACTCCTCCAGTACCAACACAGCTTTACCCCTGCATACAAAACTGCTGATGTGCTTAAAGCTCCCCCGAGCTGCACAGGCTCCGCTCCCTTTGCCACATCAGCGCGTGTTGCAAGTGGCTGGGAGGATGGAGAGCATGCGAGCATTTCTTGGAGCTAGAAGGCTCTGCTCCTCAGGTTTTGGCTTCAGATGACCCACACTCTTAATGCACTCCGCGCTTAATTCACCCTTGCCAGCGCAAATGCTCATATTTATGAGGTTGGTAATCACTTTCTATCAACATGCTCTGGAAGTCTGCTTCATCCACAGAACGTTCCTTCAATAAATCCTTCCCCTTGAATATTCCCAGCCCGAGCTGAGCCCAATGCCTGCTCATGGCTTAGGAGAAGCTTTCAGAGGTCTCTTACTGAGTTAGGTTGGCTGAAAGCACACCCCAAATCTTGATGCAAGTGGCCCCAGGTAGTCTCACAAGAAGGAAACCCAAACCTTTCCCAAAGTCCTTGGAAACACTGCATTTGGTGTCTTTTTCTTCCATAACTTAAAAGCCAAGAAATGACTGTGCAGGAGAATCAATCACGTCATGAAGGAACCTTCCGGATCCTACGTCCTCCCATTTTTTAAGCCTTAAAATTTTACTCATCCCCCTTTCAGGAGGGAGCGCAGATATGTTTTCCATGGGATAAATCCTGAGGGTCTCATGCCTCATGCTGAGCAGCAATCCCAATTAAAATGTGTTATTCTGTACAGCTCACCCTCAGTTCAAGCCATAGGACAGCAGAGGTCCATGCCAGGACAGCAACAATGAACACAGATTGGAGCATCTTTAGCTCAGAGCTTTCTGCTCTGTATCTTTCAGCTCCTTCATGGACCAACCAGAGCTCATATTGGTGCCATTTACTCA